CTAAATAAGCCAGCCCTCAGTTTGAAGAACAATGCTCCATCATTTTTAAAAGCCACACAAACAACTCAGCAAATTCTATTATAAGTACTTAAAAATAAATTTTAGACAAAAAATTAAACCAGCAAATCCTCCCGAGCAGACACAAGTCTCTGAGAAATCACTACTTATTCACTGAAAACCACGGTCACTTAACTCTGTGGAGGGCTAAAGTTAATACAGAGCTATTCTTAGAGATCCAATTTGGTCAGTTCCCAGATTAATTACACTCTGGTGGGGTCTCAAATAGTTAAGATCCAGTTAGTTTGATGTATCAAAATGCTGAACTTTAATTCCTATTACAAGTTATATTTACCTATACTTTTAGAACACTCCAGATAAGAGCATATTTTTTTATTGCCTATGCACATTTTCATCTACTTTCACCACTCAATATAAGAGCAAGCCTTAACAGTGTAACAAACCCCAAGATATACACCAATGGCTCCTAAAGATATAATCTATAATACAAATAATACCCTGCAACAATGAACATTCTATTAGACTTGTACTATACTTTGGTGCTAGAAACTATTGGTCCCTGAGACACACACAGAAAGCAGCCTCTTAGAATGTATACTGAGGCATGGGGAACACATTATAAAGAGATAATTGTCACAATATTTAATTTAACTGTTCAATTTTACTTTCAAAGTTCTCTTTGAAATGACCAGATTAAATGACCAGAACAAAAGAGAGGAAAGCTGATGTAAACAGATAAAGAATCACCAGAACTGATGCAGCCAGTGTTAGCTAAGTTCCTTTTATATGCCTGACACAATCTTCTACATTTTAATAATACTAAAGCTTCAATCAAAATGTTGGTGAGTTTCTTCTCAAAAAGTTAAAAATAGATCTGCCGTATGATCCAGTAACCCCACTATTGGATATATATTCATAGGAAATTAAATCAGCATCCTGAAGAGATATCTGCACACCTATGTTTACTGTAGCACTATTCACAATAGCCAAAAGATGGAATCAATCTAGGTGTCCATCAAGGAATGAATGAGTTAAGAAAATGTAGTATATATACACAATGAAATATTATTTGACCATGAAAAAGAACAAATGCCTGTCGGTAACATGAACATGGAGAACATCATGTGAAAAAAGCCTCATACAGAAAGATAAATACCATATGATTACCTTCATATGTGGACACTAAAAAAGCTAATATCCTAGAAGGTCAGAATAGAATAGTGAGAGCTGGGAATGTGGCTCAAGTGGTAAAACGCTTGCCTGGCATGCGCAGGGCACTGGGTTCGATCCTCAGCACCACATACAAATAAAATAAAGATGTTGTGTCCACCGAATACTAAAAAATAAATATTAAAAAAAAAGAATAAAATAGTGATTACAGAGGGAAGGGGGAATGTTTGACAAAAGACATGCAAACACAGAGAAGAAGGAAGAAAAGTCCCAAAAGGGCCAATAAAAATAAGTAAAATTAATTGCCTGGGACCAGGGGTTCAGAAATAAGAAAAGGCATGGGAGATAGAAATTGAAAATGATTGCTAACTGTTATGGAGTTTGTTGGGTGGTAAAAATACTCTAAAATTGTGGTAATGGCTGCAAAGTCTGTGAACATATTAAAAAAAACATTGGATTGTACCCTTTAAAAGGATGAATTATATGTGAATTACATTACAATAAACTACTTTAAATTAAAAAATAACCATAGATTTTTACTAAAACAAATTATAATCAAGTTCTCAAAAGTCAAAGACAAAGAGAATTTTGAAAGCAGCAAGAGAAAAGTTACTTGTCACAAAAAAATGGGAATCCCAACAAAAGTGTCAATAGATTTCTCAGAAGAAATTTTGCAGGCCAGGACAGAGTAGGATGATATATTGAAAATGGTGACCAAAAAAAAAAGAAAAAACTTGTCAATAAGGTATAATATACCCAGCAAAACTATCCTTCAAACATGAAGGGAAGATAAAGACTTTCACATATAAACAAAAGCTGAGGAGTTTATCAACACTAGAATTTTCTTAGAAGACATGCTAAAACTGAAATAAGAGGACACTGGCTAACATCATGAAACAATATGAAAGTGCTGAACTTACTGTAAAGGCAAGAATCAGAATACCCAAACACTGTAGTAGTGGTATGCTAATCACTACTTACTCCAGTATAAGAATTAAGGGACAAAATGTTCAAAACAATTATGGCCATAATAACTTGTCAATGAGTAAAAAATACAAAAAATATTAATATAAAATATGAAAGGAGAAATTAAAGTGTGCACTTTTTGCATGCAAAGTTACTATTTCTTTAAAATAGACATTTACAATTAGAATATGCTTTATGTATGCCTTATGGTAAATACAAATACTATTTTGGGATTGCTATACATACTGGAGATTATATACACACACACACACACACACACACACACATATATGAATATATGTGTGTGTGTGTGTGTGTGTGTGTGTGTGTGTGTGTGTGTATATATATATATCTGTGTATGTGATATGTAATATCCCCAAAGCAAATGTACATATTATGTCAGAGATATTTGCATTCTCATATTCATTGCAGCATTATTCACAATAGCTAAGATATGAAATCCACTTAAGTATTCATCAACACATGAATGGATAAAGTAAATGGGGTACTTATATATAATGGAATATTATTCAGCCTTCCAAAAGAAGGAAATCCTATCATTTGCAACAACATAGATAAATCTGGAGGACATTATACTAAGTGAAATAAACCAGTACAAAAACAAAACTACTGCATAATTTCTCTTAAAAAGTCAAACTCATGGAAACAGAGTAAGATGGTGGTTTCCAGGGGATAGGGGAGGAGAGAAATGGGTAGATGTTGGTCAAAGAGTATAAAGTTTAAGTTATGCAAAATGAATATATTCTCAAGACCTATATATATATAATGTAACTAAAATTAATAATACTCTATCATATAATTGAAATTTGATCAGAAAGTAAATCTTAAATGCTCTTACTGCACACACACACAAGGTAACTGTGAAATGATAGCAAACATATAGTTGTCACCTTTAACTCCTCTTTTTATCTTCTTTATCCAAACAACAAATTTCTCATCTTTCAAGTTTCAGATCTGCCACCCTTCAGAACCACTGACACTTTCTCGAATATCAGGCTTAATAATGTCATGATTAATGACTCCAATAGTCTTGGCCTTTCCCTCATATTCACAAATGGCAGTCATCACCTTTGCATTAAAAGACAGGGCTAGCTACATCTTTTTTATCATTACAGAAGCCTTCAGAAATTTTCTTCTATCCATTTGTTAGAACTGTGTCACAAAGCCATTACCAGTTGCAAGGGAAGCTAAGTTTTATATTCTTCCAGACTCTTGCAGAGAATGTTTGCTATCTATGTTTAGGGTTTCTCTAGACATTAGCCACATGTGACTATTTAAATTTAAATTAATTAAAATTTAATATTCAATTTCTCAGTCTAGACCATTTTCAAATGTCAAGAACTACTTGTGACTGGAAACTACTCTGTTGGATAGTGAATATATAAAAAAGTTTCACATTGCTTAAAGCTCTATTAAACAGTGCTGTATACAGAATGTCATAATAAGGCTTATTGAATTTTATTTGCAATGTTCCAAATTCACAGAAATTTTATCACAGTATACTTTTATCTGTCATTCAATCCTTAATTAAAATATAGGCTGATAACTATGAAATCTTGTCAGTACATGAAAGTCATTTTTATAGCTGAGATTTCATCATTAAGTGCCTCATTTTTGGGATAGGTATGTCTATGTCAATTCATTATAGAAACCACAGGCACTAATTAGATCATTATGCTTTCTGTGTTAACTCTGGTCATGAAAGTAGCACTAGAGATTCTAAAGGTAATAAATTGCCTGAATTGTGTTAACTGTTAGCTAATATAATGGACTGGTAGAAAGCTCATAGGTTCTCTGGGGAAACTACCCTGGATCAAGGATGATGCACAATTTGAGACATGTTTACAGAAATTGACTCATATAGAGTAACAACTGCCTCTAAAGTTTGGGGGGAATAAAAGACAGAAATTGCAGTGTCCTCTTTTCTGCTCAGAAAATTTCATTCTAAACCCACATTCAGTATTTGCCAACACATGCATCACCCTCAAACAAATAATTGAGAATTTGAAAGGAACAAAAAGGCTTAAAATGTTTAACAAAAGAAGATACTGCTTAGAAGATCTCAGTTAAAGGGTGTTCTCTTAGGGTTTTATGCCAATTTGAAATTGGACAACTTGAAGAGACTTCTAGGTTTAGTTTGATTCATCAAAAGAAACCAAAATAGAAAGGTTGTGTCTACCTGTAGTGACCCAGTCTCCAGAAGAGATCTAAATCCAAATCTAACACCTAATGGTAGAACAGTAGTAGATTAATAAAAGCCAGCCTAAAGTCTAGTCATACCCATCTGTGACATCTATTTTTAAATTATAAATATATCTAATGTAAACATGAGGGTATAAGGCAGATATTTTATCAAATTCTAAAACATATTATCAAGAAAAATGTTAAATATTATCAACTGCCAAATATATATTTCAGTAAACCCATTTTTGATGTTATTGTAACTTATTATTACAAAGATTTACTTTTAACTAAGTCAGAAGTTTCTTTTATAAACCCATCAGTACAATAATGAGTTTAGGGAAACATTGCAAGATTAAAGGAGTTCTTATCACAATGAGGAATGCTATGAGATCTTGAAAAAATATTAAATTCTAAAAAGTCAAGCCCCTTTAAAAATCAGATCATTAATTTTCATCAAAATAAAATGTGTTTTTCAGTAAAATCAACATGCTTAAGTATGCCATAATGCTTAGCAACTATCATGCAATACAACTGTAACAAAACACTTAAAGCATATAAATTGAATATAGCTATAAAACTAAAACTGGCAATAACAACAAGGAAAAAATCATATTAGACAGAAAAAAAAAAAAGACTCTAACCACTTTGTCCTCCTGGTGTGATTATCCACGAAAGCAAGTTAAAAAAGACAGAAAAGACAAAACAAAAAAGAAATTATTAATTCCATTCTTAAAACAAATAAGAGTTTGCTAATGAAATAAAAATTCTGAAAATGTTTAAATCACGTTTTGACTGAAATCTAAAAGTTTAGATTTAAAATTAAAAATTTAGGAGGGACAGTTTTCCATATATTTAATACAATTCAAGCAAAAGCATGCTACTACAATATATAAACAAAATAGTTTCCATAAAAGCAATTAAATACACAAATATCAGAAAAATATATTGCCTTTTTCACAAATAAAATCCTAATTAAGTTAAAGGAAAAAACAAAAGATATTTAGTAATAAAGTTTTTAGGTACAAAGATAATAAAACATAGCCTCATTGTTTACCAATAATTTCATCATCTACTATCAAAATTAAACAAAATATAATTTTACATGAATTATGCATATTACTTTTAAAAGTTATTTCTGACATATTAGCTTAAAAATCTATTAAACAATGTGGCTACAAAGAAAAATTTAACTACAATAAGTCACTAAAGATATAATATTATTATAATTAGCACTTGTGGGTCATAACTTACCACTATTGAAAATGTAAAAAATAAAATGGTAAGATGTAATTTTAGTCAAAAGACCCTATTTAGATATACTTAAAACCAAACCAAATTGTTACATCTTTTTAATATAAAATAATTATAATAAAAATACTAATGCAATAATAACTTGATATAGGAAGTTATATAAATTAAAACCAAACTCATGTATTTTGAAGTATTGCTCTTCCTTTTAAATACAGGTTGCAGTACAACATTTGTGACTGAGAAGACTAGCAATCACAGAGACCTATCTTAAAATCTTGCTGTATATCTTGCATAATTTCCCTAAGCTATCTATCCTTTACTTCTTCATGTACAAAACAAAGAATTAATATTTACTTTATAGGGTTTTTTGAGAATTAAGTAAAATAACATGAAAAGCTCTCAGTATAGGGCCTGGCCCATAATTCCAAACCTGATAGTCTAGTCTGTTAAAAAAAAATAGGATATTAGTGGCTGGAGTTATGGCTCAGCAGTAGAGCACTCTCCTAGCAAAGGTGAGGCCCTGGGTTTGATCCTCAGCACTACATAAAATAAATAAATAAATTATTGTATCCAACTACAACTAAAAAAAAAAATGTTAAAAAATATTTTTTTAAATGGGATATTATATAGAAGGGAGAGGATTGTATTCTTTATATTACTGTGTTCTTGACTGCTTTATTTATCATAAATGTTAAAATTAAATATGATATAACAGCAATTGTCTACAATCAAAAACATCACCAAAGCATTTGGTTCAATAAAAGTCTTTCACAGAACAGTCATTACCTATGGATCAGATACATTAGATGGTTGAGACATCAAAAAATAAAAAATAAATGAGATAAGTTTCCGCCTTTAAGGAATTCAAGGAACTAAATATGGTGAGAGAGAAACAAATAATTGCATAATAGAGAAATTTCTGAAAGTAAGAGAACAGTAACGTACTATGGAAATACAAATAATATAAAAGATCACAGTACTTGGAGAAAGAAGGAATAACAAGAATCTGAGACATAAACAGAGCTTTAAAGAATAATGAAAAGAATCTGAGGGAGACTAGTGAGGGAAAATATTTCTTCCAAGACCATGGCACATGCAAAAAGCACAAAACACAAACAGACCGACAAATTTGAAACTACAAGTAATTTTAAGTGACTAGATTAACAGATATAGTTGAACAGAAGTTCCATTGTTTACTATATGTGGAAAAAAATGCACAAGCATAACACTTCCACAAGGTAATGCACATTTCAGAGAACAGGAAAAAAAAAAGAAAACCATAACTAATAGTAAATATCCATTAGCAGATAAAACAAGTTTAATTTCAGCTATAATACACTTAGCTATAAAATATATATGAAATGCTCACATATCTTATTGTCTTTCAATAGAAAAATTCAATACCATATAATTTATAAATAATATTATTAACTACCAGTAAGTGTTCACTCCACTATAATGTACAGACTGAATTCCAAGGAGGCAAGTCTAGAAACTGGAAGAACAATTAGGAATTTGCTGCAACATTTTGGATAAAAAACAAGGTGAGTGTGGCAAGAACTAAACTAGGGGTAACAGGAGGAGTAGAGAAAAGTGGACTGATTTAAGAGATTCAAGGAGTAAGGCCTCTGAAGACTTGATTGAGAAATAGAAAGTAGAGAAGAATAACTGGCCAACTGGGAAGATAAAAGGACAATTACTTAAAAAAAAATTCATATTCTCTCTCTCTCTCTCTCTCTCTCTCTCTCTCTCTCTCTTTCACACACACACACACACACACACACACACACACACAAGCAGAGCATATTTGGGAGAAATAATGAATTTAGACACAGGTAATGGACTTTCAGGTGACTATAATACACTCAAGCAGAGAGTTTCAGTAGGCAACTATGCCGTTGGATCTGCAGGTCAGGAGAATACTCTGGTGAAATTTTTAGAAATCTACAGCATATGTAGAGTATTTGAAGCTATGGAAATGAACAAAATTTCCCAAGGACGTTAGTACAGGAAAAGGGGAGAATGGGCATAATGGCTGCTAAGCAAAATGGTCCTTATTTACAAATTGGCAAGCCTTCTAAAGAAAAGAAAATTTTAAACAACCAAAGAGATGGCTACATCCTCTAATCAGATTTTAGTAATGCAATCATGTCAGAATCTCTCTGTAATTGTCAAAACAATTTCATTAACACTCAAACTGGAATTGTGCTATCAAAAAATCAAATGTAATGTACCACTACAAAAAGATTACCAAGTACAATGGTTGATTAAAATCTCATGTGACATATAGAAAGTATATTGCTACAGAAAAATACTTTTATGTTAAACACAAGAATGATTTGGGGATGCTGGGGATACAGCTCAGTTGGTAAAGTGCCTGGCTCACATGAAGAAAGCCCTGGATTCAATCCCTAGGACCACCCCACATACACACACACACACACACAAAAAAAAAAAAAAAAAAAAAAACATAAGAATGACTTAATTTTTAAACCAACCTGAATCATCTGGATGTTTATCTCAGGTTTATATTTCATCTATTTTTAAAAATCAAAGACTAAATTGTTCAATTAAAAATGAAAATTACTTTCCATATTTAAGCTTATTAATTACAGAAGACTCGGTTTATGTATGCAAAAAGGAATACACTGATCCAATATGATTATCTAAGCCACCTAGCACAATGAGTGGTATATATAATAGGTAAGAAAAAGTCTATTAGCATAAAAACCATTACAAAATATTTCTACAGCATTTACTGCATGCCAGATATACGTCTAAGTGCTTCATAAATATTGATTTGTTTTACCTTCACAATAGCCTTGTAAGACGGGTATTATTATTATCTCTACTTACAGATGAAGAATCTGAAGTGGACAGAGATTAAAGATTTTGTACAAATTCACAAAGCTGTCCAGTAACAAAGCTGGGATTCAAACTTTGTTTCACTTCAAAGATGGTGCTGTAACCACTGCACAATGCTACTTTTATACACTATGGTATTCTATGCTGGCTTTGCATTTCTTATCTCTATGATTTAATTTATTAATAAATTATTCTAGATAATCATTCCTGGACTTAGAAAGTTAATGATAATTTAACATATACTCAAATTATTTGATAAATATGTAATTAATATCAAATATTAATCATATTTAAAAGAAATTTTAAATTTTATTTATAAAATTTAAAATTTCTTTTAAATATGATTAATATTTGATTTTATTTTCTAATATAATTTTATGTCTACTATGTTTATAATCAATATGGCCACCTTTACTACTTATTACTTCTGCTAATAACCAATCACCTTGCTTCTCCCCAAAATCAACGTGTTATTTCCAGTCTACATCTCATTATCACTTACATCATTGGTTCTATTACTCTTCCCTCAGATATTTTCTCTTGAAAGTCATGGCATAATTTCAGGCTAAATCTACTAAAACCACTTTGTGTAACTATCCATTATTAGTTCCCCCATCTTCTATGAAATTAATGTCAGTTTCCCCTCAGAATCATTCTTCATATGCTTGATCTTTCTCCCATTATTTCCTCTATGTATAAGACAGATGCTTCCTTCTACAGTAATGCTCTATATTCCCTGTACTTAAAACTACCATATTTCTCTTTCTTCTTCTTGGCCTTCCCTAATCAATTTGAATATTTTTTAAATCTGTTTCATGCCACTATAATATTCTCTCTCAAGTTTGGTTTGTTTTTTTAAAGAACAACAACAATTAAATTCAGCCTGTATAGTTTACCTTTTTTATCCATAATTTTGGATTACCATCTTCAAGAAAACATGCCATGGTACTGAGCTACATCAAGGAGCTAGATTGAAAGACAATGTCTAACCCAGACTAACCTTCTCATGATAAGTATACCAGATTACTTTCTTTCATTCATTCATTCAACGAGTAATATGCACTGACCTATTACATACCAAAATACATAGAAACGTACAAGTAGTATAGGGAAATTAAAGTGATTGTAATCAATTAATAATAATAAAATGTTAAGAATACTAGATTAAGTCTGTATAATCCAGTGTGGCACAAAAGAGCAAGTGATTATTTCACATGGGATACTCAAAAAAAAGATCATAAAGAAAATGATGCTTAAGTCAAAAAAAAAAGCCTTAAGTATTCAGTAAGTAGGAAAGGATTGTGGGGTAGGGTCTATGGGAAAGAAAAAGGAATATGTTAGGAAAGAAAAAGGAATATGTTAGATAACAGTAGCAGGATGAGCAAAAGCATATGACATATTGGTGAAGATGATTTAAGAGAATTGTAGGTAGCATAGTTAAATTGGAAGATCTGGAATGGAGTGAAGTTCATGCAGGGAATGGTATCACAGTATTAAGGGGTTTTATGCCATTAAAAACTTGATTAACTCAGGAGAT